ATTGAACTCAGGATTCTGCTCTTGCCAAACAAGCACTTATTCCACTGAGCTATCTCCCCAGTCTCCAGGAACCGACTTTCAAAACACAATTTCTAATCCTTACAATCCTTTTCCAAAACCAGTTACACAAAAGTTACCAGATACTTTCTAATTTCAAAACCTCAGTGATACATAGTCTGTAACATTTAATAAAAAAATGTTCTTAGGTTTCAGTTACACTACCTTCTTTTGATTCTCATGTTACCTTTCTGGAAAGCCATTCTCATTCTCAAGATTCTGTTAATCTGCACGCCTACAGTGTGACACTTTTCTGTTAGTCCCTACTATGGATAATCCCAATGATAAATCATTACCACAAGAATTCTACATCCTTAGAGATTCGTGAGATCCTTATAGAAAACCTAAGAAATCAAAATTATTTTACTTGATAGCTTTCCTTGCGCTCCCCATATCTGAGCCCAATCTTAAAAGTGACTGACTTACGTCAATTTTCTGTTACTTAACAAAATACTACAGTAATTTATAAACCTGTATTAATCCATTTGTGGGATTGAAGCCCCATGACCTAATATTTTCCATTAAGCCACTAAACCACATCTCTTTTAAGGTTCTATTACCTCACTAGCACCATCTTGGAGGCTAAGACATACCAGATGAGAAGTGAATAATGGTAGACTTAACATACAGGTTACCCTACTGAATATATGATCTTTAACCCCAAATATACAAAATTTAATGGGGCTGGGAGATAGCTCAATAGAATAAATGCCTGCCTGGCAAGTGCAAGGTCCTGATTCAATCCCCAGAACTGGGGGGGGAAAAAAACTATATATATATAAAATTTGGATAGAAAAATGTCATAAAATAACAGTCTTTCTGAAGTATTAGTAGTTTTAAAGTTTTAGGATTATGACTCAAATCATTAGAGAAATAACAGATGTAAGATATTTGTTTCTAAGAAAATTTAATTGGAGATACTCTACAATTAAGACAAAAATATGACTCTGAATGTAAAATATGTTTAGGGAATTTTAGGTAGCTTGGTTTTGTTAAAAATTCTTTTAGTATTTCATATATATCTCTGTTCTCAACATTAGAATTTTTTTTTTTTTAATTTAAGTACAAGGTCTACAGGGTCTCACTACACAGATCAGACTTGTAGTGATCCTCCTGTTTCCAACCTCCCAAGTACTGGGATTACAGGTGCACGCTACCATGCCCAGTCTCAGCGTGCCCCAAGGGTGGAACCAGCACAGCATGCCAGGGATTGAACCCAGTCCGTGCATCTGCCCAAGCAAGCACTTTAATCTGCCGAATTATCTGGCCAGCCCAACATTAGAATTTTATACATTAAAACTAAAAACAAAATTCAACTTTTCTAACAATGTGACCTCTGATATAATTTACAAACTTTACAGAATGAATATAGTACAGAACAGTCATATCTGAATTTGGCTTAATAATCCTACTGCTTTGTCAGCTGGAAAGATGGAAGTTGAAATAATTACACTAGTGTCAATAAATTCAATAAAACATAATGAAATTCAATTAAAATGGAACCCACTTTCAGATTAAGGTTAAGTTTAAGACAAGTAGGAATACATACTGAAAAACAATAGTAGATCAAAAACAATAGTAATCAAAAAAGGCCCACTGCACCCTATCCACTCATCCATTAAAAACCACTTTGTAAAGATCTTCAAGAAGTATCATTATAATCACATCTTAAAATAATCACCAATAAACTCACCTTTGCGATGGAAGATATATTAAGATCACAGCTTATAATCAGTCAATACAAGCTACAATTTAGCCTATTTCAAAGTTTATTTTGTTGACTGCAACTCTTAATTCTTTCAAAAGAAGTTACTGAGAGGGGAAAAAAGAAACCTCAAAAACACCAGTTAATAATGTGTTGACCATGCTTACATAAGAAAACAATACCTCCAATTTCTAGTACTCACTTTAAATAGCCTAGTTTCCTTTATACTTTATTAATATAAAGACATGATTTAGTTAGGCCATAAATATATGTTGTGCTTCATAACAGTATATAAGGTTGGTGTTACTCCAGAAGAGTTTATTAAATATGCAAAACTCCACTCTGTGATCACTTAATTAAAATAAAATCAGGGCCAGGGATGGCTCAGCAGAATAAGCCTTTCCCTGGCAAGCACAAGGGCCTGAGTTCAATCCCCGGTTCCGCAAAACAAAAATAAAATAAAATCAGATACAAAAGTAAGACCACACTCCCAAAAATTCACATAGAAAAGTTCAGGGAAAAAACGAAAATGAAAGCAATTTTCAAAAGACTGTATTATATATTAATTTATTTAGTAAACATTTATTATCACTATGATGTTAAGGAATGACGCTGACATTAAATAAACACCAAGCAACATTTATTAAGTATCTACCATGTGGCTAGGCTTTGGACTACGTATTAAAAAAAAAAAAGGCATGGTCCCTGCCCTCATGGAGCTCACAGTCTAGCTACAGCAAGCAGTAACAAATACAACAGCAAAGCACCAGGGAAGCAAAAAGGAACTGGTTCAGCCTGGAGAATGCAGGGCAGGATTCCCAGAGATGAAGACAATGGAGCTGGGCCACCAGGAGGAGGAGAAGTTCATCGGGTGGAAGGGAAGGGGGAAGCGCATTCCAAGCAGAGACAGCATGAGCAAGCAGAGTCTTGAAAGTGCATGCCATGGCGCGGGATGATGAGCGGTCCAGCGCAGCTAGAGCAGAGAGATGCACACACACTAAAGATGAATTAGTATTTCATATTTAATAAAACTGTCCGGAAGTAACTCTCATGCGATAGTAAATAATGTTAATTAATTTTAACAATATTGTGGTTCCATCAACATAGAGTAATTTGAAAGAATTCATTTCATAAACATCTGAGCCCCTTCTTAAGTATCTGAACACTATGGATAGTTTTTAGAAAAGGTTTTAGAAATAAATCTTAATTTTCCTCTATACACTTAAGAAGCAAAACAACCCTAGATGTTTCCTTAAAAATTTTGAAACCATTTACACTTACACAATCCTAACTTTTACTAACCTGAGATCTCCACTCTTACCTTTCTTTAACATCTTTATAACTATTATCTCAAACTAATTTCATAGAAACAGGGCAAAGGCAAAAGGCAATTTAGTCTTCCCTTTCCAATTGGCCTTCTTTTGCTTTTTTCATGCATTTTGTACAGGGTCTCACTACACAGCTTGGACTCATGGTGATCCTCCTGTCTCACCCTCCCAAGTACTGGATTATAGGCGTGTACCAAGCTGGTTTCAGTGGCAAGCACAGCACACCCTGGGACAGGGCCAGCGTGGCATGTGGTGCCAGGGATCGAACCTGACCTTGCTCTTTCCAGTCAGGCACTTATGCCAAGCTATCTCCCCAGCCAAGATACTATATTGTGACATGAGCAGATAATGCTTTCTGACCTCCACACAAATTTTCAGAAATTAATTTTGTAAAATGAACTAGTAAGGTGAATAAAAGCAAGTGTAAACTAGAGACTATACCAATGCTGGCAAAGCTATGCCACTCATGCTACAGCAGACTGTTTCTTATCACTGAGAGTTCTACAAGACTCACCATCACTGCCCCACAACTTTCAGAAAAAGCAAAAAGTAAGACAGCTCAAGTCAGAAAGTTTCCTACAAGAGACTCTCAGCAACAATGTTTACCAGTGCCCAGGTGCAACACTGTTTATAGTGCCCAGGTACACGGCAGCTTACCGAAGGAGCAAAGGTAAAGGAGTGGAAAGTGAAAAATACTTTTGCTAGACATAAATTCCCATTTACTTTTCACAATAACACTAATGGGAAAAAAATTATTACCTTACTTTTACAAATGAAAACTTGACAATCTAAAATTCCTATGACAAAATCAGCTAATAAGTAGCAGAGCCAGTTCCCCAAACCATGCTGCCAGAGTCCACTGAAAGTCCTTTCTATTGTACTAAACTAATTCCAGGCTCCTAAAATAAATACCGTACTTCCAAAGGTCATGCTGAGTTATATCAAGTCATATCCCAAGAAAATTTGAAGAACTTTACTAAAAGAGTTGACTCAAGATACCTGCAGTGATGACTTCAACCTCAACTCCTAGTTCCATACCAATGGAAGTAATCTCTTGGCGGTCATGAAAGGACTGTGCAAGTCAATGACTCACTTGTGGGTTACAGAAGCTTAGCTGTTCTTAGAAGGAAAGAAGGGTGCTTTCTAAAGGTATTGGGTATTTTAATGCAATTAAATGGCATCATAATTCAAATGAGAAGCGTTTAAAGTGATATGTGATAAACTGCCAACCCAACAGCCCAATAAAATTAGAAGTTAATGGAAGCTGGGCATAGTGGCATATGTCTATAATCCTGGCACTCTGGGAGGCTGAGGCAGGAGTCTAGCCTAGGCAATTGAAAAACTAAGCTTTACAGTATCTCAAAATTTAAAAAAGAATTGGAGATACAACTACATACTGCAGGGGAGGGGGAGAATAGTGAAAAAATCTCCAATCACAGTATAAAGATGAGAATATTATACTGAGAGTCGACATCTTCACCAGTATCAGAAAATCAAAATAACAACAGCTCCTACTCAACTTCTAATCCTGAAAATTACTACAGGTAAATTTAAGCTATAGGAAAAGATTCCTGCTACATCAAAATTTTGCCTCTTTTTAGGTAACAGGAACTATTTTTTTAAGTGAATGAATACTCACAAATGTTCTGTAAAAGATCCAGTGGGTCAAAAGTACAATGTCTATTGGCCTAGAAAGATACTGAAATGTTTTCTGATGTGCACATATTACTTATGCTGTCTCTGTGTAAGTATTGCCAAACATAAGAAAACAGATTTAGAATTCAAATAGTTCTGCATGGGATGAAGGGCATTTAGTTGTACAACCAAAATTTCAGTAATATAATTACAACATGAGACAGCTTTTGAAGTAGCATACATATGCTATGTATGCTATAAGTAAATTAACCAACCTTATTTTGATTGAGAGGATCATTCCGAAATCTCTGCTTGTTCTTCTGTAATTTACTAGGCATCATCTTTCCAGTTCTGAAGTCAAAACTGCTGAGGTCAACAGTATTTCCCAGGTACCTTGCCAACTGAGGTTTGCTTCTGAACTTCTTACCACTTGGACTAGAAGAAAGATAAAGTTAATTGTATGAAAGACAGCAATAATATACTAAATCTCTCTACATAAACCTGTTCTCTTAATGACTTCATTTATTCCTCAAATGTTACTTTATAATTTTACATGATTTTTAAAGAAATGTTAAAGTTTTAAGAGAAATTCACAGATTCCCTGCAATAAAAAATAATCTGTCATCTAATAAAACACCACCCTGGGTACACCACTGCAGCACATAACAGATGTTGCTACAGATTTTCCTATTGCTCACGCTGCAACTGCTAAAGAGTTCAAACACAAACTGCACACAGAGCTCAGGATGCTCACTCCAAGTGTTTTCAACCTTACAAGTATTCTTTCCAAAGTGACTTTGCAAAATGCTGGGGTTTTTACCCCCTACATTACACATGTAAAATGACAACAGTAATCAGAAAGAATCACAAATTCTGAGGTTAATAACTGTTATTAAAAACAAACATTTAGAATTCTATAATGTAATTTGGGATGATAACATTTGTTATAGAAGAAATTTCCAAATGTTGACATTTAAATGCTCCCTACTATACTTATTGAGATAAAGAAAAAAGGCAAACATTTACAAACCTGCTTATATGATGTAGAGTTTTATTATAAAAGTAGACCAAGAATTTACTTCTTTTCAGAAATATTGCCAAAGGTGGAAAACTATAGAAGTGCCAGAATTATACAGAGGACTAATTTTTTTCTAAGATATATTTTCTATGTAGCACTAATCTATAAGAAAAAAATTTTGTAAGAATGTCCCTAAGGCCTTGTAAATTTTCTAGGCTAAGTATACTAGAACTGCTAACATCAGTGTGATGTCACCAGAATAAAATTGGGAGAACTCTAGAAAACTCAAAGAAGCCAGCATGTCATATGTAGAACCTACCCATGTATTAACTGTTAAGAGAAAAGTAACTCAAAAAGCAAAAGGAATTACTCTGGTGAAGCAACAACAAAGTGTTCCTTGGTAATAATAAAACAATTTCTCTGGATCAAATTTTATCCAACAAATGGCACTCATCGTGTTCTACTGTATTCTGCCATTAAAAATGTTAAAATAAACGCAGACCTCCCCAACTTCTTTTCCCACAATCAGATGATTTTTGTATTCTTAACAGAGAATTCAAGGTATATAAAATTCAGCCAACAGATTACGATAACAAAATATAACAACCAGAATCTAATAAAATAAAACAAAGCAGACAGACAATAACCAGAACACACCAAGGAAAAGACTATAGGATCACATATAGCAAAACTCAACTCCAATTCAACCTCCATTTCCAAATATGCTCAAGGGCACAAAACAGTTCAAAACTTGAATCATCTGCCCAATATATACTCCCACCCCCAAACCCCAGCTGTGTTAGTGGCATCACTACCTACTTAATACCTAATCCTCCAAGCTAGATAACCACATCAGTCCTTCAGTATTCCCATCTCTTAGCCACATAGCCAGTACCAAATTCAAATTCTAAATGTTTGCAGGCACAAAGGCATATGCCTATAACACCAGCTACACAAGAGGATGTCAAGTTTAAGCCCAACCTGGCTGACTTAGTAAAATGCTATCTCAAAAAGTAAAAACAGCAAGGGAGGGAGGGAGGAGGGGAGGGAGGGAGGAGGGGAGGGATGGAGGGAGTAAGGGAAACAGGGAGACAAGTTATTCAGAGGCTCCTCCACACAGACAGCTTTACCTCCTTAATAAGACATCAAAAACTAAGCTTACATATATTTTTCTGATTTTTTCCCACCAGCATTGGTACCCTGAATTCTAAACTAACAGTCATCAAAATATGCCACATACCTATGACTTTTCTAGCCACGTCTTTCCAGACAAAAGGATGAATACAAGCAGCATCTTGCCTGTCAAAGAGCTATTAAATCCTACACACCCAACTAAAAATGTCATCTCCCCTAGGCAGCTTCTTATTGTTCTCCAATTCAACTTTAAAATATCTAAACCAGATGTGGTGAAATGACTTAACCTAACCTTAACACTCAGGAGGCAAAGGTTTAAGAATCTAGAGTGTAAGGCCAGCCTATGTTATAAAGTGAGCTCAAGGTCAGCCTGGACTACACAGAAATAACCCTATCTCAAAATAAATAAATAAATAAAATTTAAAAAGCTACTATAACACGCAATTCTCTTTCATTGCAATTTCTATACATTTCCCTGATGGAATTCAATAACGAGAAGTTACAATGCCCCTTTCTGAAACCTTTAAATATTAATTATGAAGTAGTACTTAAAAAGGTAATTTGCTAATAACAAGGAACCTTATCAATTGAACAAAAAAGATTGCAGTCTTCATTTACAGACATAATGGAATAAGTCCTATACTTACTTTAAAAGTATACTACGTGAAATTTTGTTTTATTTTTTTGTGGAACTGGGGACTAAACTCAAGCCCTTGCGCTTGCCAGGGAAGCACTTATTCTACTGAGTCATCTCCCCAGACCCCACTATGTGAAATTTTAAAACTAAATTGGAAAATATTTTCATGGTTAGTCTGTAAACCCACGTAAGAGTGAAGTATTACTAAGTGAACCAAACTAATATGAAAAGTTTGTATAAAATATTATGTCCATTAAAATTTGAGTTAGGCTAAATAGTGATCTTATACAATCAGGTTAGTAGTAAATTTTCTGACAAACTTTGAGATAAAACCTCAACAGTGAAAGTCTTTCCACAGAACAATTCTAAGATTTCCCTCAAAAGATCTATTTAGTTCAATAAAAAGCTGAGCTTTTTTTTAATTGACTATAATGTTCAAGAATATGAAAATATTCAGGCAGCAATTTTTACTGAAGAATAGTCTCAGCATGTGGCTTAAAGACAAAATACGAGGTCATTTTGAGGGGAATCATTTGGCAAATTTCACAAATTAAACCTGTAATCAAACCCTCATGTAGCAGTTAAAATGTCATTTATCCACTGTATCTGAAAACCTACAAGCACCTCATATTCCCTATAGAACAAAACTTATTAGAGATCAATATATCTTAGATACCTCTCCCTCAAACCAAAGAAATGTAAATACCTAAGATCTCAATTAAAAGTCTCTACTTGGCTGGAGGTGGAGCTCAGTGATGCAGCGCATACTTAGTATGTGCAAGGTTCAGTCTGCAGTATAAGGAAAGTAATAAAAGGCTATTCTGATAAAATGTGATTGTGTAAGTTTATGATCTAGATTTGCAGTGTAACATGGTTTAAAAATAATTTTAAATTTCCTACATTTATTAATTTTAAAAAACAAATGTATTACTAAATAGGTCTCATATTCGTCTAATAATCTAAATTAGCAATGAAGGAAAAAAGTCAAATTTTACTATTACCATATGCAAAGAAAGCTGAAATGTCAACTGGTAACTGCTAACTTCTTATTCACACTGAGTCTCCACCTCCTGTCATAACAATGGATTTCTATGAAGCACTTGTAGTAGCTACAGGTATTTGTCATACACACCGCTGTAACAAACAGCAGTCCAAACCATTATTTCTTCGGTAACTACAACTTGTAGGCAATGCTTTAAGAAAATTCTAACTGGCTGCTCCAGACCCAAAAGCCAGGGATTGTCTTCTGCAAAAGATGAAGGCAAACAGCAGAAGCACAAGGCCTACAGGAACAGCTAGCTGGACGTCCACCCATGAAGTGGCAAACTGAGAACATAAAGTACTGTCTCTAAAACAGCTGCTGTAGCCTTTTATTACTTTCCTTATACCACAGACTGAACCTTGCACATACTAAGTATGCACTGCATCACTGAGCTCCACCTCCAGCCAAGTAGAGACTTTTAATTGAGATCTTAGGTATTTACATTTCTTTGGTTTGAGGGAGAGGTATCTAAGATATATTGATCTCTAATAAGTTTTGTTCTATAGGGAATATCAGAAACACCAGGATTTACAAAGTGGATAATTTTTTGTTTTAAAAGTATCAATCCAAGACTGGCGGTGCACGCCTGTAGTGCCAGCTCTTGGGAGGCTGAACACAGGCAGATCTTTACAAGTCTGATCTATGCATGCATAGTGCGACCCTGTAGACCCCGTACTAAATACACAAAAAAAGTATCAATTCATAACGTAGAGAAATTATCTTGTTTTAACTCTCATAGGATGATAAGAATATTAAGGCATTTTCACTTTTCTCTGACAAAAAGATTATTTCTAATACCAGTAATGAATTTTTTTTTTTTTGGGCAGAACTGGGAACTGAACTCAGGACCTCGCGCTTGCCAGGGAAGCACTTATTCTACTGAACCATTTCCCTGGCCCACTATTTTCATTTTAAACCACAAAAAAATTCCATCAACCACTCCACAGACACGCCATTCCTGAATCAAACTGTGATTGCATCTTAAAATTTCTCCTACTCACTATTTAAATACCCCGAAGAAAGGGACTAATTAAAAAACACATTGGTTGTATTTTTCCAATTCATGTTAACACTTCATCACTTCTGCATTTTTTATTTTTTGCTCATGCTCACTTGCACGCAGAGCTCGCTTGTTCTGTCTGTCTGTCTGCTCTCTCTCTCTCTCTCTCTCTCTCTCTCTCTCTCTCTCTCTCTCTCTCTCATATCTCACTCTCTAGTTCAGGCTGGCCTTGAACTCTCAGTGATCTTCCTGCCTCAGCCTCCTGAGCCTCTGGCTGTGGTTACAGGAATGCACCACCACACCCAGCTACTTTTTTTTTTGCTTCCTTTAATTTTTATTAAACTGTTTAAAGAAATTCTCAAACTAACTCTATTCTACCTTAGAAATTTTCAAGTATAATGTATCAAAATAAAGTTTATCTGGCATTGGACTTTCAAATCTGAAAAAAAAAAAAAGGTAACAGACAGCAATCTTACATTTTTGTCACATCGTTAACCAGCTGCAGTCATTACTGCGTGAGCTAGAAAGGGCACTGCCTATGAGGCAAGGACATAAAAACCGTATCTGCAGAAGATCTGCTGTGTGCCTACGAAACCACCCGCTG